GGATGGGCAGCCGGTGTAAGGAATATATAAAGTTGTTGATTTGAGATGATGAACTTTGGAGAGAACTAACCTTTGATAGCTTCTCTCCCCGCTTATTGTAATAAATGAAACAAGGAGGTGTTAATTGTGTCTTGGCTGCTTATTGATCAGGGGAGCTTGTCACTGGTGAGGAAGGAAGGTAGCCAGGAGCACATAACAGTTGCTAAACAAATGGTTGTAAATTGAGGACTACTTGCAATTTGAAAAATTTGAAAAACTTAACACGTTGAGGCAAAAACTGTGCCCAGTTGTTGCATGTGCCCATGCCACCCACAAAGACAATGTTTATACAACAACTTAACTGGGTAAGTTAATGTTCTAGCAGCTGCATTTGCACAAGGTGTAATGCTTGGGTGGCGTTACCCTTGGTGATGTTTGTCGCTGTGATTAGCGCATTGTGCAAAACCAGCCAATTTGTTGGCTTATGCCTCAATGTTCTGTGGTTATCTAGAAAATGAGTCAAGTAAGTTTTGAAACTGCAGCCAAGGAATTTTGTACAAAACCTCAGCCAGGGCAGCTCTTTAAGTAAATTTTAAAAAGCTCTTTTATTTAAGGCTTTAACAACTTGCTGGTTGGCCCAACTAAGCCTTAATAATTCTAGGTTAAATACAACCAGACAGAATAACCAGATAATTAGAATCAGTGACCTGCAAGTATGATTCTTCCAGTGGAAGATCTTCTAATTCTTCGGTCAGGTCCGGAATCAAGTTGGGCTGATCTCGTTGGAAGAGAAAGAGCTCCCCATCTTCATCGCTCTCAGCCTGTCATGTAAGCAGTAGAAACTGGATGAAATTTGTTAAAAGGCAACAACAACAGAAAACAAGACTGACAACTGCCTACTGTTTCTTTCGGAGATAAAATGGTAAACATAAGCATAAAATTGTAAACGTAAAATTGTAAACATAAGCTTTTACTTGGAAGAAATAATAGAAGATAAACATAAAATCATAGGGTTGGAAGGGATCTTTGACATCTTCTAATCCAATCTCAAGGAGATCCTATACTAGGAGTGTCCAACCATAGCAGACCTGTGGATTTCAACTCCCAGAATTCCTCAGCCAGCCATGGGGAATTCTGGCCTTTGAAGTCCACAAGTCAGTCAATCAATCAGAATAGAGTTGGAAGGGATTTTGATAGTCTTCTAGACCAACCCCCTGCTCAGCAGGAGACCCTATTAAAATTATTATTAAGTCTTAAAGTTGCCAAGGTTGGACACTGTTGCCCTATCCCATTCCAGAAAAATGGCGATTTAGTCTCTTCTTGAAAACTTCCAATGATGGAGCACCCACAATTTCCAGGGTTAAACCAGAATCTCAGCATCTATAGCATTTCACTAGAAAGGACCTTTAAAGATAAAATAGGACTATACAAATTACAGCAAACAATACATTAATTTAATATTAAAAAAATATCTGTTTATGGATGTATGCCCTTGGGACAAAACATTAAACTCAACTTTTACAATACAGGGCCTCATCTTGAATTTCTATGACTATCATAGCCTGCCTTGCAGAGAAGGGAAGCTGCTTCATCTAATCCCCCTCAGTTTTGTCTCGGAACAGGGAACCCCAGTCTTGAAAAATGCCTCACTACTCATTCTGCAAATCTCCAACCTATTGGATGAATAAATTCCTAATAATGTAGTAAAATGAACAATTATTAGAATAATGATTTGTCTGCATAACTGCAATAATGATGTGTCTACATAATTGCTAGAATAATGATGTAATGCATAATCACTGGGAACATTCACTGGGAAAGTTCTGTGTCAGTAATATGTGGCTAACCAAATGCGCATTGCACATGGATACTTTGTATGTAGCAAAACCTTCCATTGTATGCCCGTGAGAAACGAACCAAATGTATTACAGTGTATTATCATGTGTAGTCCCTTTGTTCCTGAAAGAAGGGAAGTATAAAAACTGAAGTCTAATCCCGCCCTCCTTGT